ACAGTGTCTGTAACCTTATATCAGTTCATATTAAACATTCAATACTTGGTTGGTCCTCCTCGTACTTTAATAACCTCTGCAATGCGATGTGGCATGCTGTAGATAATGTTGTTGATATAATCCACCGTGCTTTCATCCCAACTTGTCACAAGAAGGCGCTGAAACTCAGCTATAGTAGCTGGTTTAGGGTCGTGGTTAGCAGTTTTCCAGATTAATTTTGCCCAACAGTTCTCAATGGGATTACAATCTGGAGACATTGCTAGCCGTGATCGAGATAATCCTATACAATACACACACTGTGGGCATTGCCATTGTCATCCTGGAACATAAAATTGTTGCCAAATCTTGCCCTAGCGTATGGCAGAATTATCGTCTCCATGTTATTTCTGTATAAGGCACCATTGACGTTTCCTTGGAAGATATGAAGAGTAGTTTTTCCACCATGATGAATAGCTGCCCAAACATGCACTGCACCATCTCCTTTGTGTTTCCTGTGAGAAAGACTGTCTTTCTTCATCTGTTCTCCAGGCAAACGAAGAACACGAATCTTACCATCTGCTTTAACATGCCGGAAACAGGACTCATCTGAAAAGATGACATATCACCAGTGTCCTAACTGTAAGTTAGCATATTGACTCAAGTAACACGATGACGGCGGTGAATTCTGGTTAATATCGGTGTTCGGATAGCCCTTCTTTCAAAATAACCTTGTTTAGTCAGTCTAAAAGCAATATTGACTGTCGCGGTTATATACATTTGACAGTTGAAAGTGTGAAGCATTATTAGCGTCATATCTAGCCTTGAACGTTGTATCTTCTGATTTGTAATCCGATATGCTAACCAGTTGAGCAACATCTGGCTTCCTAGTTATTAGAGAAATAAAAACAGAAATAAGAACATATTTACATTTCCAGATTTTTGTAAGCCTAACACAGTAAGTTCCACTTTCTCCCTTGTATCAAAAATAAATCAAACAGCTAAAGTCTCTTTCGCTAGGCTTAATCTCACTCTACCTGCGCATCTTATTACTATTTTGTGACTCACTGAACACTTGCATAAGTAACAACGTTTACTCCTAAATATCAAAACAGCAACTTTTTCGGCTTTATTAATTATTAAAAAATATCAGATGTTATTCAAGAACACTATCCCGTTAACGTAATATAGTTTACGGGGTTACGTAATATAGCAAATAATTCTTTTTCTGAAACTATAGCAGTTATTACATACAGAAATTGATGGTTTAATATTTTAATTATTAAAATTGTACAATGTTAACCGTGTGGCCATGTTTAAGGGTTAAACTGATGGTTTAATATTTTAATTAATACAATTGTACAACGATATAAGTGTGGCCTTGTTTAAGGGTTAAATTGATGGTTTAATATTTTAATTAATAAAATTGTACAATTATATCCATGTGGCCATGTTTAACGGTTAAACTTAATAAAACGCATAGTCAACAAAAACGTATAACACAGAGTATTAGAATATATACATGTAGATATAAAAATGTTGTTCCATCTGCATACTTAAAACTCACATTATGAAATTTCATATCACAAAAATTTAACGCAGTATCTAATAGTTAACACATATGTTGTTTCCTAATCAACAGGAATATAAATAGCAATTGTTTGAAACTTTTCTCCAGTATATTCCTGGATTTGTAGAACATCATTGAGTGGGATCTATATTAACATAATTATATACTTGAAAAATATGTAACTTTGATATTACACAGTAATTATTCTTTTCGTTTGGTAGACTGCAATTTTTTTTAACTTAATACCGAAATAACGCATTATTAACGAGAAGAAAATCTAGGGTAAGGAAAGATATAACTAAATACACACAATTCTGCATTATAAAAAGCCTGGTTTTGTTTTTTACTTTTTCCTTGGCCAGAATCACTGAGGTGGAGTAGAATTTCTTGAAACTGGTATAACTCAATGACGCATGACAGATCTAAAAATACTTCAAGGCCCCAC